TCAGGATACGAATGCAAGGACTGCAAAACTGGGAAACAATGGGAGGCGGGGCGTTGTCACGCTATGTTTCTATGGCATGACAGTCCTGCACGATGAAGATGGCCACTCGGGTGCCCTGCCATTGCGGGGCAGGTTTTGTGCTCAGGGCCTCGGGGTTTGGATTGCAGGCTTTGGGGCGACAAGCATCGTCACCATAAACTCTGCTAGTCATACTGTTGTGATTATTGTGTCTCTGTGCTGATTTTGGCTGTTTGAAATCGGCTAGCGTTGCGACAGCTGCTACAACTGCACCGCAAGCATACTGCAGCAGGGGCTCCAGCTTTTTGTGAGCATCCGCATGCAGCAGGAGCAAAACTCCAAGAATGCCGCCCGCCCAACATCAAGGTGCTCAAACGCGTGCTCTCAGCTTGCTTTCAAAACAAATGGGAATATCTCAAAATCAAGGGCTTCCCTAATAGCATCATCCCCACTTGAAGCACTCCCTCAATATTATTTTCAGCTAGAAGAGCCCTTGCTTTTGAGGAACTCCCAAGTCTTCACACAAGTATCTTGTGACTTGGCGAAGACAGGCTGAGGAAAGCCTGAGCATTTGGCATTTAAGGAGTAATCAAAAGCTGGCACCCTGGGTTGTGAAAGGCTCAATACCAAGCCATCTCCCCTATGCTGGGGCAACCCAAGGCTTTCTAAGACCATGTTTGGATCTCCCTCTCAAATCACGGGTAACTTTTTGGGGAAGGTCCGAAAGAGATGGCTACGTATGTTTGGGGAGACAAGTGTACCTTGATTTTGAGAAAGACCCACATATGACAACATGAAAAACAAACCTGGGCATGAAAGGCACCAGGCAAAGTACAGTAAAGTCGTGCATCTTCAGGGAGGCAAGGTATTCGGTCGGTAGACGTCATCCAAGCCCGCCATGCTCTACATATCAGAAACGAAAGAGGCTGCATGCATCTGCAGAAACGGTGGAACGGCCGCTCCTCTGGCGAAGTCGGCCGCTGTCCAGTTTCGGCAGTTTCGGATGTCTGTCCGCGCTCCTGCCGCAATCAGGGCAGCCACACCCTCGTGCTGGGCAAACTGCATTGCTGCCATCAGTGGCGTCTGTCCATGAATATGGTAGCTTTGCGCGGAAAGAGTTGTTGGCTTGCCGACCCGATGCTTTAGGGACTGAGCTGCTACAAGCAGCCTACCAAGCCGCGAAAGGTCGCGTCGGATATCGCACTGGAAGTCGACGTCAGCCCTTAGGCCCACCAGCCGCTGAACAAGCTCGGCTGAGCCTCCACAAATGGCCATGGAGTCCAAAAGTGCCTTTCCCAGCTCGTGCGGGCTGTGCTGAGCCTGTGCCAGCAGCTCCTCCATGGCCGCCAAGCTCCCAAAGCCAGCTGCGCTGACCAGGGCCGAAACTCCAAACAAGTTCTTTGCCAAAGGATCACCGCCGCTGGCACGCAGCAAACGGATGCCCTCCACATTGTTCGACGTGGCAGCAATTATCATGGCCGGTGCAGTTCCTCCGTCCAGTTGGGCCTGCGCACAGATCAGAAGCCGTGCCGCATCGTTGTGTTTGTAGAACATGGCCATGTCCAAGGCAGACATCCAGGGCGGGAAGCCCAGCTTCGGCTCTGCTTTCGTAGTCCGCCGGTTCGGATTGGCCTGCTGCGCAAGCAGTCCCGCAACAACGTGCAGGCTGCCCGACATCGCAGCGTAGTGCAGCGGCCGAAATCCTGCCGAGTCTTTCTCGCTGATGCCGCGGAATCCATTCTGGTAGAGGAAGCTTGCCACTGGATCGTCACGTTTAGCAGGTTTGCACATGGCATCGTCGCAGCTGGGAATCACGTTACAGGTGGGTGTGCACATGTTAGCATCGCAGCTGGGAATCACGTTACAAGTCGGCTTGGCCTTTAAACCAGTCAAATAAAGCGTTTGCAAGTTTAGGTGCCGCCGGTAAGCAGGCAAATCCCCTGCCTGAAGGGACAGGGTTAGCTTCCTATTCACAATCTTTTGCATAACAGGCGCCAGTTTTAGCCGATCATCCTCGACTGTAAACTCGCCCTCGCCAACTGGCCCAGAACCAAATGACAAAACTGTCCCGATCATTTTGAGGGACGTGGAGCCTTGCACAAGGATCCATGAGTCATAAGCGGAGAGTTCGCGCGCAGCGCGCTCCAACCGACACCATCCGCGCCGGCTCCAGCTCGATTGTGTAAAAACCTTGTCCTGAGCGGAAGAATCAATAGTTGGACACAAGGCAAGGAAAAATCGGCACCTGGCTACATAGGCAGGGATGCTACTGATGGCTTTCGCTTGGCTCCCATTGCTGTCATTCGCAGCGGGCAGTGGGCTGCCCCGTAGCTGCGGCACGGAGAAATAATCGTACCAAAGAAACAGGGCTTTGCTCTGGAACTCCTGGTGCGAGATGCCTTTGGCAGCAGGCACAAAGCTTTCAGTTACCCAGTCTGGAGACACGGATCCTGAGTTGTAGAGGAGATGCTGTAGGGCATCCTGCAACACGGGCATCTGCTCAAAGTCAGGGTCAGGATGCTCCTTTGCAACCCACTGGTGCGAAACGAAGAGAGCGTTTCCCATGCTCTCCTCGAAGACGACGAGCTCGCCCCGCGCCTTCAAACACATGTGGCAGCCCGAACTGCGGGCTGGGGCAGGCCCAACAAAGACCATGCGTACTTGCAAAAAAGGCCAGGTGATCATCAGACCCAACAGCCAGAAGAACTTGTGACAAAGAAACCGAGCTTTTGTCCACCCTCGTCCCTCCTGAAACACAAGATGCCCCTACCCTTTCCCAGCACCTGCAGCTCTTTGCTTCTACTTCCGGTGAGCTGACTAAAGAAGGTATAGTCCCCCTTAAGTAGATAGAATATGGGGTATATGGGGATCTTGTTATAATATACCCAAAGCCATATTCTATCTAGATAAGGCGGACCATAAGCTGAGGTTGTAAGTCTGGACTATGGTCCTGCTTCCAGCCTGAAGTATCTCGTGTGGGTCGATGGTCCTCATTTCCAACAGCACCTCTACTTCGACCGTGTACATGGGGAAGCGCATGGCAATAGCCTCAGGTATGCGGATAAGCTGGTGCAAATTGATTATTCAATGGCTGTACTTTATTACATCGGAGTCTAGTCATCGTCTTACGATCGTCTCACGAGGGACGAAAATGGTTTGTAGGATTACATTCATACAAGAGGGAAATTAGGGTTATGTAGTAGGTTATCCATGCTTCTCAATATCGAACATGGCCCACCACGCCGAATGGCTATGTACGTACAAGTCAGCAAGTGCCAGGACTGCACCGTAACCTTTCGAACGGAGCATCCGCCGTCTTCGTGGTCTTAAGCCAAAGACAATGAAGAGAATGCAAACCCCCGTGTTGCTCTCGTTCCGAGGGCGTTTCTGTCTGGTCCCGAAGATGTCCGTTAGTCCCTTCCCATACGAGTATGTGATGGAGGGCCAGGGACAAGGGGCTGTGAAGGGCGGATCTCTGCCTGGCCCTTCTTTGCTCCCCCAATCCAAGAGATAAATGCAGCACAAGTAAATATAACAAGGATTCGGAGAAATTTCGCTTTGAGGGGATATCAGGGAGGAGCTGCTAGGGAAGAGAATGAAGCGCTTCACAAGATTGCGGGGTTCAAGGCTTATAGGGATTAGTGCAAACCCATGAAAACCAGTCCCGCTTGCAGGGATCCGATGATTTTCAGAAACTCCTACTTGACGGAAGGCAACGTCATCTGCAGGAGCCAGTGAGCGCGCATAAAGCTCCAAAGGAGTCTGGGATCTTGCTCGCAGGCATCGCGCCATAAACGATTGGGGTTAGGGCTTCGGGGGGGCTGTCATCTGCTCAACTACGCTGGCATCTTGGTGCTTGTCATGAATACTGCTAGTATTATATAATCTATGTAATCAGAAGTGAAACTAAATCACCTCCGTCCATAATCCTCCCACGCTGTGCAAGGATCCCAAGAAAAACGCAATCCTCCTTGCTAGATGGGGTTCCTACAGCCCTGTCTACAACATTACTGTGCCATAGTTTTGTGGGTATGAAGAACCTGACAACAACGACTACGACCGCTCAAGAAAGACGAGCAGGTCTTGTCCGCTGCATCTGAGAATACTGTGAGTCCGGTTTTGGGAGTACATAGAAAAAGGAACACAACAAGCGAGCGAAATCCTTTGTATGAAAGCTACCAGTATGGACTTTGAGCCTTCCAGCAGGACAACCCCCACAATTGCCAACATGCAGGAGCTCATCTTTCACACCAAGACATTGCAATCCAGCCGTAAGCCTTGTAGTGCTCAGCTCTCACCTCCCTCCAGTCCAATCCTGCAAGAAGTCCATACATTTCGATCCCGGAGCACAATGTCGGCCTCAGAAGGGCCAAGAGTGCCACTACCACCTGGAACGCCCCTGAAGACCTTGAGAACCTCTTTCAGGGTCTGGGTTCGACTTACTGCTGCTTAAGGGGGAGCGAATGCCTGTACTGACCCCTATGTAAAGCCCACCAGGAATGACGTCGATCTCAGGCAGAGGCTTAGCAGAAGGAGCTGAAAGAGTTGAGAAGAGGCCTCAACCTGGTCTCGAGGCTACAGGGGAAAGTATGTGTATGTACATATATAACGCATGATACACATGTCTACGAATACCTATATCGTACTATAGGTAAGCATGATGATGATGATGATGATGATGATCTATACATAACGTGCTTTGATATTCAGGTATACATAAAGACTTATGTGTACTGGCCACAAGCATGCTGGCATACGCACATACCCATACACTGATCAAATACTAGGCTACAAAAAGGAGGAAGCTTGATGAAGCTTGTCACGGGGAGGGCAGGTGCAGAACTTGAGTCAGGCACCTGGTGCAGAGTCGCAGCCTCGGCAGTTCGTCTGAATGAAGGATTGAATGACCGAACTGATGCTAGGGAGTGGGGCTTCAATACTGCTCCTACTGCGGAAGACGCATTTACTGGGTGGAACTCTTTGTCAGAACATGCAGGTAGGCGTAGGCTATGCAAACAGACCAGCCAAGAACCTGAACATGTTGATCACGCTGACCACAAAGGCTCAAACTTGAAGGTTTGAGGCTTCAGATCTCTGCGGTGGGATATCTGGTTGAAGAAAGAATACAATCGTGCAGCGTGATACAATTTGAAAAAGAACCACAGTCCGCAGGGCTTACATGTAGGTTTGAACTGTTTGTGCAGACTTCAAACAAGTTAGATCAGACTAATATGCTACTTATAGCCCCCAGAGGACTGCATGTGGAACATCATGCTTGGAAGCCAACTCTTTGTGAAGAAACGAATCTAAAGCCCAGGATCACGGACCGGGACTTTGTCTCTGCGTCTAGCTTAGATCCGTGCCACGCTGTTGGTGGCACTTCCTTCTTTCAAGCGGTGTGAAAATGAGAGGGTCCAGCCTTACAGGCTTTATGCTTTAAATTTACCGAATCTTTACAGTGTACTGTGCTGTTGGAGACACCTCTACAAAACTGGCCCACGTCGCCCTGGTGAACCAGGCCACATCTAGCGGCAGCTCTCGTAGCACGTGCCGCGTGTCACCGTGCACTTGCCCTCGCACTGCAGGATTTGGCCCTTGAGGGCTTCCTCCTCTTCCTCTGTGTAGTATGGTCCACCGCCGGGTGGAATGTGACACCAGCGGTTGCAGCTGCCATAGCTGGAATCGCAGCTTGCCTGACATGCTGCATCGCTTCCACCACTGCTTGGGCCTGGGCCTTGGGCTGTGCAAGGCGATCCATGAGATTGGCGGCAGGAAACAGCACAGGAATCCTGGTTGATGCAGTCATCGTTGGCGATCCAGGAGCAGTCGCAGCCTGTTGCGGAGCGCTGTGCCGCCTGCGCGGTGCCATTGGTCGTGTTTGTTAGGCCCCGGAGGCCAGGAGCTGCAGCAGCCAGGGCTGCAAGCGTGATGGCGTTGAAGCATAGCCGTGCGAGCATGGTACTAAACGCGGGCCCCGAATGGGTGGAGTGGAAACAAACTTGAGCCACCTGCTTGCTCTGCAAGAAACCACGGGGGGTGTATGAGAGATCGCACAAATCACCAGTCACTCCTCCACTGGAAGCTGGGCCGCACGCTGCATGCCTCTTCAGCTTAGGACCTCTTCCTGCACCTAGGGCCCCGATCCCAATGTCTTTCCGGAACAGAAGCAACCGAGTGAAGGAGGCTAAGGAACACGCTTGGGGGTTGAGCAACTTTGGTTGCCTGAGCAACTTCAAAGATTTCCATCCGTTTCCTTGCCCTAAGCTGTACCAATCCAAGGCCACAGCTCAAAGGTATGCCAAAAGGGGCACATCACTTTATGGATGCCGCGTCGCCTGAGGCAAGGAGCCAAGACATGCCATGAACCCAAGCTTAGGGGCAGGGCCCCGGGGCTTATAAGCCCTCCTGTACGGACCACAAAGTTACCGCCCAGGTGCAAAGGCAGGCCAAAGTACCAGGAGGCACACTGCACCAGTAAGTGTTGATACTTGGCCCGAGGGTGCAGAGCCATCAATCCGTGGATGTCAATCCCCCTCCCACCGAGTCCAGCCGCATGGATAATGGCCGTGTTGAACAGCACGCATCATACAGCAAAGAAAGCACCAGAATTTAATCAACAGCTGACTTTGTCTTGCACCCGCCAAGGGGAGTGGCTTGGGATGGCCCACGAGCGCGAGTTGTCTGTAAATTGAAGAAGCTACCAGGCCACCAATGTCAATGTCATGCTAGCTAGGAACCAAAGCATGGATTTCCCATGCACCCATGACTAACTTGTGGTTGGATCTGGCTAACCTGTTTGTGCTACAGAGACACATTGTTCACACGCACTGAACATGCTTGCATGCACGCGCGCCTTTGATCCAGCACCATGCAGAGGCTGCATGCCAAAAACTTGAAATGAACCTGTCAGGCAGCAAGAAGTTCAATGAGGACGCATTCTTGAAAAGCAGATTGCCAACGTTTGGCTGAAAGAAGGAAACAGGGGCTGCTGGACTAGGACACAAGCGGTGTCACTACTGCGGAGTGGCAAGGCACCATGATTCAGAATGCACCAAACATGTGCTTTGGAACCAAGCAGCCACAGCTGCCCTCTGTAGCACGCAGCACAACCAACGCCAACCTCAGTTGAGACCGGGCCGATAAGGAAGGGGTGGGGGGGGTTCTTGTTTGGCTCAAACAAGAACCCCTCGCTAAGGTGGGCCGGTGGG